CGCAGACATATATAATATGAAGAAATCCAGATCTTTATATAACCATTTGTTTGTACTTGCGCAACGATGCCAACTGAAACATACCTATTAGCAACACACGCTTCAAGCATGCTTCGAAGCGCTGATTCTCGTGAGGATGCTGGCCCTGGACACTGCTACATAAATCAAGTTCAGCGCATGGCAACTAACCACAATTGACGTTAACCCGACGTGACTGCTCTATCAAAGGAGTAGTTTATAAAATTGGGTAGGCAGCCAGTTTCACGAAGATTTGCGTCTATATGAAAAGTATAGTTCCGAGACCTGGCATAGCTCTATGGTAAAATGCGTCATTGCCACTCCGAACGCATGGTTTCAATTCCAGCAGGGACCCTGTTCTTTATTCTTTGCAGTCGTCGGGTCAATGCTACCGGTGTCAGGCATTTCTCAACACTCACGCGTTAAAATTGCCCATGTGTGTTCTCGTCGTTCCTGGGTAGATACTAATTGTCAATCACCTATGGCATATACCCACCTGTGGGTATGTGCCACGGTCGGGCGGGAGGTGTTTGACGACGTACGTGACGAATTGTGAAATTATTCATGTCTTGACCAGCGCGAATTATTTGTCAAACCATCTTACCCTCCCATGCTATATTGGGTCATGCCAAATAAAGGCGGTGACCACGAGAGCACCCAAACATAAGCGGCTAGATAGACAGATACACTCAAAGTCGTCAAAGTTTGTCAAGAAACGCTTCGCATATAAAAGAAAACGCAGAATTACACACTCGTGGTCAGCGCACAGTGAACATGTTTTGGATGGTATCGTCATCGGTCTCATGCTGTGCAAACAGATTTCTAATACAACAAAAACATAGCATTGCCACCTGATTCTAGTTCTTTGGTGTTGCTTCGTAACACGCTCGCTCACAAGAAACATTTCACAACTTACATTACCAACACTTTATTGTCAATGCTAGTTACACCATGCTCCATTTTGTTTCACATTCAGCATTAATATTTTTATAATTGTAATACAAATGAATGCCACTGCCAATGATCAACATAAAAGCTTTGAGTAAATCTATTTACTTTACAGTGATATAGCCAAAAATTTTGTCAAGAGGGTTAAACCATGCTTGATGTATGTGCAAGAATTGGTATGTGTGTGTGTATACAGGGTCCACTATGAAAGTACTGCACATGATTTTATTGTGATATTTTGATGCAACTCTCCATGATAATGTGGTAAATAACAAAGAAAAGACAGCGCAAAATTTTGACAGGATAAAGTATGAAGGAGGCACGACTTGACCTCTTCCTTCATTTTGTGTCCTGTCATAATTCCATGCTTTTTTTTTTCTCTGTAGTAAGTATGAACCAACTACATACCCCAAGCCTCAACCTTAGCAAGTGTGGTCATATTGGTTAGGCAATGTGTTCGGGGGTCTGCCCTCAAGCACAGCCAGTCGCAAGTATATTTTGGGCAGTGCAAGCAGAAAGACATGCTTCCATGTGAGACTTTTTTTTACCATGTAACACGACGTGATAGAGCATTTGATTGAACAGCAATACGCTATAAAGTTTTGCAGGGAGCTTGAAAGGAATCCAACCGACACATTCCAGATGCTTTGAAAGGCCTTCAAGGATCACTGCATTTTAACTCATATATGCCCAAACTTAGTAAAATTAACAAAACTAATTTATATTCCACAAAATGATTGCTTCTACGACCTTGGAAAATAAAATACGACTTTTATATATAAAAAAAAGCTCTTTCGAAGAATGGTTTTGGAGCCGTCCTATATGTAGGACATCAATGTTTGACACACCACGAACAAATAATATACGAAGGTTACTGCACACTCAATGAGAAACAATTGAAAAAAATATCAGTAGCATTAAGAACAATATCACTCTATATTACTTTTTTTTTTTCGTGGTATATGGCGCTGAGCTACACCTACACGCACGCGAAATAGCCATTTTGTCACTGCAAGCACGTGACTGTTTGTAGCCTAGCGATCGCCCAGACTAGCATGTGTTGAGGACAGGGCATCATAAGCACACCTCAGCTGGCACTATAGTTCTTTCAGAGAAAAAAACATTCGAGTTACACTGCAAAGTTTCAGCGTCCTACATGTAGGACACTTGGAATATATGGGCTAAGGTTAGTCTGGGAGGTGGCACAAGGCGTTCAAGGAAGGCTGGGAAGAGGTCGCCGACAACCCCATGTTAGACACTTTATCGCCAACAATCAGCCCAAGAAAGCGTGAATGAGCAAGTCTCACATCAGAACGATGCTCAATGCCATCTTTGACACCCCAAGAATCACACATAATAAGTTTGTACTACAGGAATAAACTGTTAACTCGGACTTTTACCTGGAAGTGTTCAAGACTGAAAAGCCAGTTGTCGCGTGTCAGGGCTGGCATTAAAGAGATGGTCAAGCTCCACCATGACAATGCCGCTAGCCACCTGTCCTTCATCGTTACAACCTTCCTGGGCTGGAGCAAACACCCCTGTGCATAGTTTATCCCTTACAGTCCCGACTTGGCCCCGTACATTTTTCAATTGCGGAGCTTTTTCAGTCACACAATGTAGCAGATTGCGCATCGGCGGCACCGTCCACACCGCCACTGCGCATGCTCACGTCTCGTGCTGACCCAAAAAAACAACCGCACAATTGTCGCTCTAGAATAAAGGATAAGACACACCGGGCGTTCAACAAGCCCAGCATGCGCAGTGGGGTGTAGACCTCTCCCCTGTACTCTTCTCTCTCTCAAATTCAGGCAGTATGCATACATAAGCGGCGGAGCGTGCGTTCCAAATTCAGTCAAGGGCATCTTGACTTGGCTTTTGCTTGACTTGATGCTTTGCTTGACTCGAGCAGATGCGATGGAACCACCTTGAACCAGTAGTGGCACACAACCCAACAATCAGCCTCCCACCACTCGTTAAAGGCAACGCTTCTCCTTCATTCAAGAAATAAGAATAATAAAAACAAATTAACAATTGAGCATTTCCAAGTAATATCCAATTATGCAACAATCCCACAATACCCCCAACACTCTGCGATGCATTTACTCGAGTTTCCCCCTTGAGAAGATGCAGGCAGCTTTTTTTGTTGTTTGTTTGTTTCCCCGACTGAAGAGAGAGCTGAGAGTAAAGCTTTGGAAGCACATAGAAACCATCCAAAAGCAAGTTACAATGCTCTTCAGCAACTTTCGCGCCGAGGACTTTCACGATGGCTTCACACATGGCAGACATGTCTCTGTAATTGTACTAATGCAGAAAGAGAGTAATCAAAGAATTTAAAATCGAGAATTCAATAGAAATCGATCTCGTTAAGATGACACTTGATGAGAACAGTACACCAACTGACTAAAAGGCAAAAAAAAAAAAAAATGTTTCGACTTCCCTATAGAAGCCTGGTTCAAAACCATTGTGATCAAGGCATCCGGAACTTCATATACTTTCAGGCTTTTATTTGGTGTCCTTCGTTTCTTTGATGAAGAACTTTAACCATTAGTATGGGAGCAATCAATAAACTAATTTTTTTCTCAGAAAATGCGCATTCCTTTTGCGATGGGCCCTGCATATACACATCCACGATTTAAAAACTTTTGGCAAATATAAATGCCCACCTCTGCGGCCTTGGCTATGCAAGTGTTACATCCGCATCATTACTTTTTTTTTTTTTGTAGACTATGAATTTAGACATCCAAACATCACTCAGGATACATCAACTCACCACTGCAAAACTAAAAGCACAACAAAACAAAATCAAGAACAGTTATATCTGCAATACATGTTTTACTGCATTCTTGGTATTTTTATTCGTGTTTCATCCTTATTCCACCTAATTAGCCATACACAGGCATATACAGGTTTTCTCATTTTATTTCTTGGATTGATGTAGTGATCAACAGTTTACAGAGAAAACTCTGCAAGAGAAGGTGATCTAATCAAATGTAGATTTGCCTTTTTGATTAAACTCTATACTTCTCATTACTGATGGAAACTCGGCCTGCCATGATGTCCCAGTAGTAATGGTGCTCGACCAAAGGTTGCGGAATGAAATCTGGGCTTTGACATCCACATTTTGAATGGAGGCAGGAACGCTAGAGGATGATGTGCTTGGATTTAGGCACACGTTAAAAAACTTCAGGTGATTGAAATTTCTAGAAACCATCACTACAGTGTCCCTCGTTACCACATTTTGGTTTTGCTACATACCCCCCACCTCTCTGGAAAAAAAACTGCAAGAACCTAGATCATCATTCAGGAAACGTGCTTGCTTACAGTTGTGCCAATGAATTACGAGATTTCAGGTTCAACGAGCATGCTCATATGCATGTGTGAACATGAGCCAGGCAATTATTTATTTTCCAGTGCTTAGCACCATAGCACTAGAAACTTACACATAATCCACTTTCATGGCAAACCGAACTTTCAACTTCCTGGATTATGTGCATTGTCATCTGAAGAAACTTAAGAAATTCCTATGAATAATCACTTCTCTCTAAACTTAACAGCCGAGGAATGTAAAAACTTTCCGAGGCACCTTAGCCTTTTAATTCCTGAATTATGACACTGCCCAAAAAAAACTTGTTTGCTTATTTTCAGGTCTGCATAGCAACCTTGCATTGATTCTGCAGCAAAATCATCTATAACACAGCTTTAGTGCATACATTTAGGCATGTCACGAATTCATGACATGCCACAGAGGCGAGGATCTCGCAACAAAAAACATACTTCAGAACTTCATAACGGTCATTTGCTACCGCTTCAATGCATACACACACAAAATAACAAGACTGAACTTGCGTCACTCAGGGGACAAAAAATGAAGTGAGAGATGTTGCCCATGCATCGTGGTTTCCACTATCAGCTACAAACACCTGGTTTAAGCATTAAATGCTTTGCACAAGGCTGTGCTAGACTTGCTTGGTCAGAGTTTTCCGGTATGTCTTAAATTTGCGACACACTTCAGGAAAGGGTTTCATAAAAGATCACCTTTTAACAGAACGAATCAGTTGTGTAACCTCCACATTAGAAACACTGGCACCCCTGCCCTTCTTGGCTTCATTGGGATGAAGTCCGGAGATGTGGCGACTGAGAGCACTTCTATTTGAAAAAGATTCATTGCAATGGGTACAAGAATACGGACGCTCTCCTGTGTGGGTATTTATGTGGTCTGTGAGGTTGATTTTCCGTCTAAAGGATGCATCACAGTGAACACAAGAGTAAGGGCGCTCTCCCGTGTGGATGCGCACGTGTTTCTTGAGGTTGCTTTTCTGGGAAAAAGAGGCATCACAGTGGTCACAGGAAAAGGGACGTTCACCGGTGTGGGTGCGCGTGTGCCGCACGAGGCTGCACCTCTGCGCAAAGGCTGCATCACATTGGTCGCAGGAAAATGGGCGCTCTCCAGTGTGGATGCGTACGTGTCCCTTGAGGTTAGACTTTTGTGAAAACGATGCATTGCAGTAGAGACAAGAGAAAGAACGCTCTCCTGTATGGGTGCGCATATGTTGCTTGACTTGGAATCTGGATGTGAAGGATGCATTGCACTGGCGACAAAAAAAGGGTTGCTCCATAATGTGGGTGCGCATGTGCTGCTTCAGGTTATATTTCTGTGGAAAGGATTTACTGCAGTGAACACAGCAAAAGGGACGCTCTCCTGTGTGGGTGCGCAGATGTTTCCTCAGGCTCTGTTTCTGTGTAAAAAACGAATTGCACTGGGTGCAGGAGAAGGGACGCTCTCCGGTATGGGTGCGAATGTGCTCTTTGAGGCGAACTTTCACAACAAAAGTAGCCGGGCAAAGGTGACACTGGAAGGGACGCTCCCCTGTGTGCCGGCGAATGTGCACATTCATGTGTCCTTTATCCGTGGTCGTATAGGCACACTGCCGGCAGGAATGCAGTCCATCTTCTACAGACACAAGCAAATGGTACTGGTCACGGGATTTCGCAGAAACAGAACCTGCATAGCCACAGGAAGCACAGCAAGGCAATGCAAATCATAGATCCCACAACATACATATAACTAGACTTGAACAGCAAAAAAACAAGAGTTGCTGCACTTATAAATAAGTGTATCCGATAACCTTCACCATTGCGAATGCGTTACTTTAACACACCAGTACATTGATTCAGAACATGCCTCATAAAAGTTGCCATCTGTCTATGCACAGATACTTAATCGATGCAAGTACCACCAAATTTGGATATCAGTACACCAAAATAGGAAAATGTGTCTCTGTAAAGAATATAATTTTTAGTTTTACGTGGCTCAGGAAATTCAGACTAGCTCAAGAAATTCAGAATAGCTTAGGAGATTCAGACTAGCTAGAGCCCTCTACCGAGGACCTATGTCTAAGTACATGCGCCTATGGTATTTCGCCCACAACGAAATGCGACCGCTGCCCCCGATATTGAACGCATGTTCTCACACTAACCCATTTAACTAATAATTAGTTCTTTGCATAGAAGCATCTATATTCTCGACCAGAGGAAAAGCACCAAATAAAATATGAGCAACATTTAATATGAAACAAACAGGACGACTACATATTATGCATTGATTGGACACTTTCTTGGATTTCACTGCTATAACGCGACTGCAATAATCCTGAGCCTAATGAAATAATCACCGCATCGGCTGAAAAGATTAGAGCGGCACTCCTCTGCTTATTATATTCATGCCAAAGATAACCAAATAAGGTGCACATTACCTTCACAGAGAGTAACTGTATTCGCATCATGTCCATCATCAACACTCGTCTTCTCAACTACTAATGCCATAACTTCATTCGCATTATGCCTGTGATCAACAATCGGCTTCAAGTCCACTGTAACTTCATTGGCATAGTGTCCGTGATCAAGAGACGGATCCACGTCCTCCGTAACTTCATTCCCATGGAGCCCATGATCAACACTCGGCTTGTTGTCCATTAATGCCATAACTTCATTCGCATAATGTCCGTGATCAACTAACGGCTTCAAGTCCACCGTAACTTCCTTCGCATAATGTTCGTGATCAACACTCGGCTTCACGTCCGACGTAAATTCATTCGCATAATGCCCATGGTCAATGTTCGGCTTCACGTCCGTCGTAACATCGTTCGCACAATGTCCGCGATCAACAGCAGGCTTCACGTCTAGCGCAACTTCATCCACATAATGATTTTCGTCAACCAAGTCTTCAACACTCGGTTTCACATCCGTCGATGCACTAGTCTGTGTCAGAATGCCGTCCATTGCACCAACGCCTCCTCTAGTTAGGAGGCTATGAAGTATCGAGAAGGCCATTATTACGCGCGTTTCACCTAAAAGATGTCGCGGCTTCACATTGCGCAGCTGTCACGACCAAAGTTACCACTCACACCTTGAATAACACCAAGATAACACACTCAAAAGTTCGACCACATCCATGGAGGTGACAGGTCCATTCGATTGGATGGATGGATTGATATGGCTGTACCAACGCCGACTAGACGGCGTTGGCTCAAGGAGGTTATACTAAATCTTCTGGAGTGGCGGTCCCGCATACCCGCCCATGTCTCGAAGTGAAGCCGCGGCGGCCATATTGCTCAGGGCAGAAGGAGGCGACTCCTGTTTTGAAGCGCCGTGATGCTTGCCGTGCGTTTCGTTATCGCTACTAAAGCACCTGTTTATTATTTTTAGTAGGCGAACGAATGTGGAAAGGACTTTAATGCACATCTGCTTTAATTTTTCTTGGACATTTGGCGTTTCAAGCGTGTAAAAAAAAAGAACACGCCAGACCTGCAAGAAACGCGCAGAACAGTCACAGCGAAAGCTGGGAGAGTGGTCTTTCAAAGCCTTCTCTAAAAACTCTTTGGGATGCTACAAGAGCACTGCTGGGTACCCACAGTGCCATAAATAATCATAAATTTTTTGTAGTAGGCCAGCATTCACTATGCTATCCTTCGTCATTCATTGGAGAATCGTACGCGGTATTCGCTACACACTTGTTTGAAGTTTAGTGCATCTTTTTATGCAGTGGCTGATGACGATGAAGAAATATGCGTGAAGTGGTTATGCACCACAGTTAATAGGTGATCAAGAATAAGTTTTTTAATGGATGGAAGCGTTGGACGACCAAGTCGTCAAGAAATTCGCATTGTGTGACGCCTCGCTGTTCCTTGATGGTCTAAAACGCTTTATTACTCATATTAATGCGACTCGTTTCCAGACATCAAGCCTGCCTAAAACCAGTTTAGAAACAATTTCCAGCGCTGGCGCGGCTCAGTGGTAGAATGCTGGGTTGGCACGCAGCGGACCCGGATTGGACTCTCATTGTGTCATTGATATTCTTAACTTAACGAATTTTTTTTTTGTTCGATACTAATTACGAGTGGCGGCGGCGGCGGACACGGCTCTACGCATGACCCGTGTTCTGATCTCGTAACACCTTTCACTATAAAAAGAAATAAAAGCGTACTCAGGGATATCACACACACACACACACATATATATATATATATATATATATATATATATATATATATATATATATATATATATATATATATATATATATATATATATATATATATATATAAAACTCATCCCCCGATGAAGGGAGGACCCCTCCTGAAACTGTTGGGAAATAAATATATTTATCTTTGTTGACAACGCTGCCGTTGTGCCATATCCCATACCTTCACGAAGACTAACTGGCCCATTGAGTTATTACTCCCACTATATATATATATATATTATGAAGTCTTGGTAGTCTTGGCTGCGACAGCGTTTATTTGAGGAAAGACCTCGCAAAACGAACGGGCAGAGCCAGCACACAGACGATGACGATGATGATGAACCAGAGTGGCAATGAGGGCAAAGGGACAAGCGGATGATGGTGATTGTGATTATGCAGGGATGAGGACGATGTAAGTTACAAATGCCCACACTAATTCCCCCCCACTTCCCTGGCCGCCGTAAGTCAAAGTGATGGGGAACGTCGCGTGAAAGGTTTCATGCGACAAACGTGTACAATCTCTGTGCTGCGGAAGCGGCGGTCTGTTGGGGCGACGAGTGGTGTCACACGATAATTAACCGGCGAAGTCTGTTCTAAAACAATGTATGGCCCGATGAAGCGTGGTTGGAATTTGTCACAGAGATCAGGAGTGCGAATAGGTGTCAAAAGCAGCACCTCGTCACCAGGTTGGAAAGACACAACGCGGTGGGATTCGTCATAGATGATCTTCCGCTCGTGCTGTCTCGCTTCAGTATTGATGCGAGCCTGATGGCGAGACTGGGCCAGGCGGGAAATGTATTCTTCGCTAGAAGACTGACATGAATTCCCATGGCTGCTAAAGAAGGAGACGTCGAGAAAGGTAGTCGGGGTGCGTCCGTACACGAGGTAAAACGGTGAGTAGCAAGTTGTTCGCTGAACGGCGGTGTTGTAAGCGAATGTCAGGAATGGTAAAAGAGTGTCCCAGTTTTTGTGGTCGGGTTGGACGTAAACGGCTATCATGTCTGCAAGGGTTCGGTGAAATCTTTCTGTGAGACCATTTGTCTGAGGGTGGTAGCTTGAAGCTGTCTTGTGAGTAGTTCCAGATGCGCGCAGTACTTCGTTTACAACTTGTGACAGGAACACTTTGCCGCGGTCACTAAGCAGTACACGAGGAGCCCCATGACGCAATATTATTGCGTGAAGAATAAAGTCTGCAACTTCCACAGCTGAGCCTGTAATAACAGAGGAAGTCTCAGCGTAGCGTGTCAGGTGGTCCACGGCAGTCACTATCCATCGTTTGCCAGCAGATGTGACGGGGAGAGGCCCGTAAAGGTCAACACCTACAACCTCGAACGGCATTGAAGGGCACGGAAGTGGCTGTAGAGGTCCAGCAGGTGCCGACGTGGGGAGTTTACGACGCTGGCATGGGTAGCAGGAACCGACGTACCGAGCTACACTAGAAGAAAGGCCAGGCCAGTAATAACGACATCGAATGCGGTCAAGAGTTTTTTTAAAACCAAGATGACCAGCAGTCAAGTCGTCGTGGAAGGCTTCGAGCACCTGAAGTCGGAGAGAGCGTGGCAGTACAGGAACCCAGCGCTGACCGTCAGGGTGGTAGACGTGGCGGTGGAGAACCCCATTGTCCAGCCTAAAGTGCAGGAGTTGACGACGGAGTCGCGCGTTTGGTGGATGAGAAACTCCCGAAAGGTGGTCCATGATGCGTCTGCAGTATGAATCGGACCGCTGGCGGGAGATAAATGTTGGCTCGTCGTCCGAAAAGGGTTGCGTTATTGATGCGAGCGTATGAACTTTGGTAGATGTGGTGGTTGAGTTCTCACCAACGCTCATATGGGTAGTTGGAAGCGGGCAACGAGATAAAGCATCGGCGTCTTGATGTTTTCTGCCTGACTTGTAAGTTATATCAAAGTCGTACTCCTGCAAGCGTAGTATCCACCGACCCAAGCGTCCGGACAAGTTCTTCAGTGTAGAAAGCCAGCATAAGGCATGGTGGTCCGTAATGATTGTGAAGTGACGCCCGTGGAGATAGGGACGGAACTTCTGAACCGACCAAACCACAGCCAAACACTCTTGCTCAGTTATAGTGTAGTTCTTTTCAGCAGCGGTGAGTACGCGACTGGCATATGCAATAACTTTCTCTAGGGAAGACTTGTCGCGTTGTAGAAGTACGGCTCCTATACCAAGGCCGCTAGCGTCGGTATGGAGGATAGTTGGTGCGGCTTCGTCAAAGTGGCAGAGCAGAGGTTCAGACGTGAGTGCCCGCTTCAACAGGTCGAATGCTGTTTGGCATTCTTGAGACCACAGAAAGGGGACGTTGGAAGCAAGTAGTTGGTGTAATGGAGCAGCAATAGAAGCGAAGTTTTGGATAAACCGGCGGAAATAGGAGGCGAGGCCAAGAAAACTGCGAAGCTCCTTTGGTTTTTCGGGGCGCGGAAAGTGAAGGACTGCAGAAATCTTGTCAGGGTCGGGCCGGATGCCATCTTTGCTAACGACGTGTCCTAAGACCTTGATAGATTTGCTAGCGAAAGAGCATTTCTTCGTGTTTATTTGAAGCCCGGCGCCGGCAAGGCACGTCAAAACTTGATCTAATCGTTCTAGGTGCTCAGGAAACGTTGACGAAAAGATAATAATGTCGTCCAGGTAGCAAAGGCAACTTTTCCATTTCAGGCCACGCAGCACGGTATCTATCATGCGCTCAAAAGTCGCGGGTGCGTTGCAGAGCCCGAAAGGCATCACGTTGAATTCATATAGCCCGTCGGGGATTGCGAATGCCGTTTTCTCTTTATCGTCTTCATGCATGGGGATCTGCCAGTACCCAGAACGCAAGTCGATGCTTGAAAAGAATTCCGCGCCTTGTAGGGAATCAAGGGCGTCGTCAATGCGTGGCATAGGGTACACGTCCTTGCGTGTGATCTTATTGAGCGCCCGGTAGTCCACGCAAAACCGCACAGAGCCATCCTTTTTATGGACCAAAACAATAGGAGACGACCAAGGGCTAGATGAGGGACGGATGACTTCCCGTTTAAGCATGTCCGCAACGTTTTCTTCTATAATTTTTCTTTCAGTTAGAGACACGCGGTAGGGTCGGCGGTGTACAATAGATGTCCCAACAGTTTGAATTCGATGTGCTGTAGTATTAGTGCGGCCCAGCTTAGACGAGCAAATATCGAAAGAATTTGCATGTTTCTGTAACAATGCGAGCAACTGCTGCCTCTGTGAATATGTCAATTCGCTGCTGATAGTGGTGGTAAAGGCGGAGGAAGAAACATGCTCACCGAGGCAAGGTTCTTTGGATGCGATGGCCTGAAGTGGCGTGACGAGTACAGGCTCGAAGTCAGCAACACGGGCCACAGTAGTGCCCTGTGGCAGTAAGATCTTCTCCGGTGTAGAGTTGACAGCGGTGACAAATGCCGAGCCATTGCAAAAACGAACGACACCGGACGGAAGAACTATACCTTTGCGAACGCAAAGTGGTGACGGTGAGACCAATACATCCCCGTGATAGATGCCGTTGGACGTAATGGTGACAATTTGCTCTTGTAGTGGCGGGAGTTCGATGTCTTTCGCAGCGACCAGACGAAGTGGCTTCTGATTATCGTCGTCAAGCATGTAGTCGGTGTCAGCGAGGTGAACGACGCGTTGTCCACAACAAATCGCCGCGGAAGCAGATGATAGAAAATCCCACCCTAAAATTAGTTGGTGAGAGCAGCGGGACAGGACAGCAAACTGGACATGATGGCGGATGCCGTCGATGAAAACACGCACAGTACAAAGCGCGGAAGGGCGAATGATGTTCCCCTGGGCAGCAACTAACGTGGGTACCATCGTAAGGCGTCATTACTTTCCTTAAATGTTCACACAAATCAGCACGTATCACAGACAATGTCGCACCTGTGTCCACCAAAGCATCGACTCGAACTCCTTCCACTTCCACAGAAACCATGTTACACGGGCCTAATGGGGGAATTTCAGTTCT